GTTGTACATAGGGTCGCTATGAGTCGCAAGCTACTCGACGGCACATAACAACAACAATTTTAAATGCCTGTTAAACCCTAGGAAACCCTATGAACCTGGAGAAAGGACGAAAGTTATATAGGAAGTGTGCAGGACTTCATTCATAGGGTCACTATGAGTAGCCTGCGACTCAATGGCACTTAACAACACTACCACCACCAACAGCACAGAGTAAGAGAGAGCAAGCAGTCAGGCTAGCAGACAGAAAGCCATGCTCCCAAGCCAAAGTTGGGTGAATCTACTCCGCAGCCCTCAGGCCTACCTTTGTCTATGATGAAACATTCTTCTAGGTTGTGTAACCCTGGTATGTCCATTTGCTGTACAGAGGTAACTTGTGGTTGCTGTGAAGCTGAATACTGTTACCCATGGTGGACAGTGTTTGGTGAAGCTCCCCGATTAAAACAAGCTTGGAAGCATGAGTGGCATCCATTTCCACAATAGCTTGCCTCTGGAAACCCTATGAACCTGGAGAAAGGACGTAAATTATACAGGAAATGTGCACAACTTCATTCATAGGGTTGCCATGAGTCGCCTGCAATGCGACGGCACTTAACAACAACATTATTAAACATCTAGTCTGAACCTCATTCCAGAATCCAGACCTGAGAGTCATACAATTTTTACTCATGTATCAGTATTAGAGGAAGACTCATCAACAGCCTGCGTTATGAAGATGACACAACCCTACTTGCAGAAACTGAGGAGAAGGTCTAGTACTGCAGCCTTCAATATGGATTGAAGCTCAACATCAAGAATACAAAGATTCTCACCACTGGGCTGATTGGCAGCATTATGATAGATGATGAAGAGATTGAGATTGTTAAGAGCTTTAGTTTGCTTGCCTCTACAATCAACACTCTTGGTTCTGGGAGTGGTGAAATAAAAAGATGAATTACATTGGGTAAGTCTGCTGTCAGGGACCTCTCTAGAGTACTGAAAAGCAACGACATCAGTCTGGAGAGTAAGGTGCTCCTGATCCAAGCCATAGTCTTTACAATCACTTGCTATGCATCAGAAAGCTGGACAATGACTAGGGATGATAGAAGGAGAATTGATGCCTTTGAACTGTAGTGCTGGAGAAGAGTATTAAATATCCCATAGACTGAAAGGAGAACAAACAGGTTCGTCCTGAAGAGGGTGAAATCAGGTTGCTACGCAGAGGCAATGATCCTCAGGCTTTGTCTGACATACTTTGGGTATGTTGCAAGGAGGGACCTGGCCTCAGAGAGGGACAACATCATGCTTGGAAGGGTGGACGGACAATGAAAGAGAGGAAGAACCTTGGTGAGATGGTTGATTCAGTGACAGAGGTAATGAGGGTAGGTGTGTCGGTGACAGTAAAGTTGGTACAGGTTAGAGGGGTTTTAGGGCTATTGCACATAGGGTCGCTATGAGTCACAAGCGACTCAACAACCTATGACAACAGTATCACCACTTGAATGCCTAATGTTGTTATGTGCTGTCAAGTTGAAACTGACTCATAGCTGACACTCCAGTGGGTTTTTGGAAGGTTGTAAACTACACACGAGGAGACTGCCATCTTTTCCCCTCAGAACACTTGTTAGATTAGGGTTGCCAGGGAATTATCACCTTTGAGTTAGTGGCGCAATTTCCTATGCACTAATCTATCTTTCTCACAGACAAAGAGTCTGAAAATCCAAATTAAAGCACTGGCAGGGCCATAAATTCTGGAGGTACTAGGAGGATAAACTTATCTCTTTGCTTCTCTTTGTTGTTAGGTGCTGTTGAGAAGAATATGACTCATAGCAACCCTATATCCTGTGCCATCCTCATATATACTTGAGCCCATTTTTCAAGTCACTGCATCAATACATCTTTTTAATGGTCTTCTTCTCTTTCACTGATCCTTTACCTTTCCAAGCATGATGGCATTTTCCATAGACCAGCCCCTCCTGACAACACGCGCAAAGGATGTGAGACAAAGTGTCGTCATCCTCACCTCCAAAGAGGATCCTGGTTGCACTTACTTGAAAAGACACTTGTTTGTTCTCTTGGCCAACAATGGGATATTCAGTACTCTTCTCTCCAACACTACAACTCAAAGGTATCAATTCTTCTTCTGTCATACTAATTCAGTGTCCCACTTTCAGATGTGTACTAAGTAATTAAGAAGACAATGGCCTGAATCAGGTTCACATTAGTCCTTAAATGAACATCTTTGTTCCTTAGAACTTTAGAGAGGTCCTCAATAGCAGATTTCCCCAAAGTAACACATCCTTGATTTCTTAACTGCTATTGCCAAGAGTGTTGATTGTGGATTCATGTAAGATGAAATCATTGACAATTTCAATCTTTTGTCCATCTATCATGATCCTGACTATTGGCCCAGTAGTGAGCATTTTTGTTTTCTTGATGTTGATATATAATCCATATTTATATGATTATATGACTTATATGATTATTATATGACTTATATTATTTTTATCTTCTATAGCAAGCATTTAAAGTGTTCTTCACTTTCAGCAAGCAAGGTTCTGTTATCCTGATGCTACATTCCTTTTCATAATGTCCAGCTTCTCAAATTATTTGCTCAGTATATAGATTGAGCAAGTGTAGAGAAAGGATACAGTGCTGACACACACATTTCTTAATTTAAAATCATGTAGTATTCCCTTGCTCTGTTCAGACAACTGCCTCTTGGTCTAGGTATCACATGAGCACAATTGTTTTGGGATTCCCAGTCTTCGCAATGTTAGCCATAATTTGTCATGATCCATGCAGTCAAATGCCTTTGCATAGTCAGTAAAACATGAATACATATCCTTCTTTGTATTATCTTCATTCAGCTAAGATCCATTTGATATCAGCAGTGATATCTCTGGTCCTTGGCCTCTTCTAAATGCAGCTTGAATTTCTGGCAGCTGTCAATGTACTGTTTGTTCTAGCTGTTTTTTTATTATCTACAGCAAGATGTTATTTGTACATGATGTTAATGATATTGTTCAATAATTTCCTCATTCTGTTAGATCACCTTTCTTGAGAATGTTCCCATTTCCTATCTCTAATAGTTCCCCAGTATTTATCAAACCCCCTCCTCTGGGGCTACATGATTTTCTGCCTCCATCTTCACTTTGCCTTCTTCTCTTTGGACCTTCTCCTTTTCTGTTTCTTGTTGGATATCTTTTGGACTTTGGGTCCACCCAAATAACACAGGATGATCTCGTAATTAAATATCTTTAATTACATTAGCAAAGACCTTTTTCCCAAACAAGGTACATGACAGATTCTACGGGGTTAGGATATGGACATACCTTTTGGCAGGCCACTATTAAACCCACTAAGATGAGTAATATCTACGTTAATCTTTATCTATGATTTTCTACCCTCTCCTCTATGTTTCCATTCTAATTCACACATACACACCTCACCTGCTATCAGTTTTGCTGTGGCTTGATCTTATTACCTCAGGGGCTAGGTTTTGTCTCCTGCAAAATAAAACACAAAAGAATGAAGACATTTATAATCAAGCAAGAGTATCATAAAGGGAAGACAAAGGAAAATTCAGAAGAGAAAAAAGGGACCATTGAGGAGCGGGAAGGATTATAGTAAAGAGGTGGGGGAAAGTGGAGGAGCCCCAATAGTGGATAAAGAATCAGACAATATTCTTTATTTTGAGAATTCATAACCCTGGAGAAACTCTTTCCACAAGAAGAAAAGTAGGTTCAAAACCAAGGAGCTGAAATGGGAAGTGAGGTCAGGACATCCTTGATAACTAAGTAGGGTTTGAAAACAGACCTCTGGATAATCTGTCGCTTGAATATGCCGGCTTTATGCTGAACCTCTAGATGTGTCATCTCCTCATTCAGCTCATTCCTGATATTCTGGAAATTAGTAACTGCCCCAAAGGGCCATCAGAAGTTGAGAGGGGTATTGGTGACTAGATCTTAAGAGAGGGCTTATCAGGAGAAATCAAGTGAAATATCCCACTTCGGGAGCTCTGGTGGCCAAGAAGCAAGAAGCTGCACTGCAATCCCAGAGGTATGCAGCTTGAATCCACCAGATGCTCTGCTAGAGGAGGGCAATCTCCTCCTGTATCAGTCAGATCCGATTTGACCACACACACACACACAGGCTTGAAATATCCCACTTCAAACCTCAAACCTTCTAACTATATCAGATTATCTCTATCTATATCCACCAGTCCCAGTTTTCCTAGTTATTTCTTCCCAACTTCACACCCCACCAAGTTTCACTTCTTGTGTGCTTACCCATCATAGCGACTATGATATTTCGAAAGATAATGGAGCCAAGCAACAACCAAAGGATAACATATAAGCTGCTAAAGGTGCGGCTGACTTCAGGTACTTTCCAGACATCTTGAAGCAGTGAGTACCAGTGGTCCAAGGTGAAAAGAATGAAAACTGTCACTAGAGAATTTAGCACATCCCTTAAAAAGAGGGAGAGAGACAGACAATAATATGTATCTAAATATGGGAAGCTCTGGTAGCCTAATAGGTGAGGAGTTGCAATGTCAGCCCAAAAGCATATGGTGCAAATTCACCAGCTACTCCCAAGAAGAAAAATTAGTCTCCCCTCATGCAATTTTCAGTTTCTCAAACTTACTGGAGTCAGGTCCAAATCATTGGCATAAAACAACATGTATTTCTGTACATAGAAGTAGAACTCTAAATCTTTTAGAAACAGTACTGTTCTTAACTTTTTAAAAGCAAAATAAAATTTCTTTGTCATTTACTCTGACTTTTGACTCCTTTTTTATCCTATCAATATATCAGTTTATCATTCTTCAGTTTGAGGATATTTTATGACATTTTCCTTGATTCATGAATAATGTATGATACCTCTCACTATTCTATAAGTACCTGAGGCTTACTCATAAACAAATGTTGATTCAATTTTACAAATAAATCAACAATACCATTTTTGCTAAGTTCACTACTATTCAATGGATATCACCTAAACACTAAAGCCTGAATTGAATGATCTCTAGTACTTCCCTCACTCAATACTTTTCTAAAATGACCAGGAGGCTGTTGTCAGAACAGAGCAAGGAAACACTGCATGATTCAGAATTGGGAAAAGTGTATGCCAGGGATGTGTCCTATCTCCATATCTTTTCAATCTATATGTAGAACAGATTATCTGGAAGGCTGGGCTCTATGAGGAGAAATGTGTCATCAGGATTGGAGGAAGACTCATAAACAACCTGCGTTATGCAGATGACACAACCTTACTTGCAGAAACTGAGGAGGATCTGAAGCTCTTGCTGCAGAAGGTCAAGGACTGCAGCCTTCAATATGGATTGAAGCCCAACATCAAAAAAACAAAGATTTTCACCTCTGGGCCAATTGGCAGCATTATGATAGATGGTGAAGAGATTAAGGTTGCTAACATCTTTAGTTTGCTACATTCTTGGTATCAGCAGCCAGAAAATTAAAAGACAAATTACATTTGGAAAGTCTGCTGTCAGAGATCTCTCAAAAGTACTGAAGAGCAACAATGTCAGTCTGGAGACTAAGGTGTGCATGATACAGACCATAGTCTTTGCAATTACTTGCTATGCATCAGAAAGACAATGACTAGGGATGATAGAAGGAAAATTGATGCCTTTGAGCTGTGGTGCTAGAGAAGAATATTGAATATACCATGGACTGGTAGGAGAACAAATAGGTTCATCCTAGAGAAAGTGAGACCAGACCACCCCTTGGAGGCAAAGATTCTGAAGCTTCATCTGACATACTTTGGACATGTTGCAAGGTGGGACCAGTCCTTGGAGAGGGGCACCATGCTTGGGAGGGTGGAGGGACAGCACAAGAGAGGAAGACCCTCAATGAGATGGATTGATTCAGTGACTGGGGTAATGGGGATAGGTGTGTCAGAGACAATAAGATTGGCATGCGATAGAGCAGGGTTTAGGGCTGTTGTACATAGGGTCACTATGAGTCATAGATGCCTCGATGGCACATAACAACAACAATAACAACAACAGCCCTGTTGAAGCCCAAGAAAGACTTGAGAAGTATTGAAAAGATTAGATTCTAGTTTATAACCCAATTGCTATTGTTGCCATCCAATCAACTCTGACTCATGTTGTTGTGGTTGTTAGGTGCTGTTGAGTCGAGTATGATTCATAGCAATCCTATGAACAGCCAATCTGAATCTTGCTCTATCCTGTGCTATCTTCAACATCTCTGACACACTAAAACCCAACGCTGATGTCACAGTGTTAATCCATCTTGTTGGGGGTTCTTCCTCTTGTTCGCTAACCCTCCATCTTTCCAAGCATGATAGAGGAATTTCCAAGGAATCAGCCTTAGAATTATTTCTGAGGAATAGCCTCGCCTAGCCAGATGCCCACTGTATAAAAGATGAAGCTTCACCATCTTTGCTTCCAAGGAGCACTCTAGCTGTACTTTTTCTAAAACATATCTGTTTGGTTATTTGGCAGTCCATGGGATATTTAGCACTCTTCTCCAAAATCACAACTCAAAGGCATCAATTCTGTTATCCTTATTATCTGATGATTGAGAAGACCATGACCTGAATCAGGTGCAACTTAATCTTCAAACTTAAATCATAGCTCCTTAGCATTCTGGAGAGGTCCCTGACAGAAACTTGCAAAATGCAATATGCTTCCTGATTTACTGACCAAAGATTTGCTGGTACCAAAGGTATTGATTGTTGATTCAAGGAAGATGAAATCACTGACAGCTTCGATCCTTTCTCCATCTATCATAATGTTGACTGCTGGTCCTGTAGACAACCTTTGTCTCTTGATGCTCAGACTTACAATGTTTTTAAACAACAGATAAGAACAGTACTATAGGACTCCCTGTTGTTGTTGATGTTGTTGTGTACCATCCAGTCAGAACTGACCCATAGCTGATCCTGTGTGGGTTTTTAGAGGCAGTTAATTGCATGGCAGGAAATTGCCCATCTTCTTCCTGTGGAGCAGCTGGTAGATTCAAACCGTGTACCTTTGGGATTGCAGGGCAGCTTCTTATGACTAGGGCACCAGAGCTCCCTGTAGCATTACCTAGGCTATAATTTCTTATTTATTGTCATTTTAATGAAAGCTTACAGAAAAATTGGATTTTCATTCACTCATTGTTGTACATTTTCCTTATATGTGAGGTATTACTATTAACTTCATTTTTCAAATGAGGTAAAAAACCAGGGATTAACCAGTGGAATATACTGCTATTGGTGAGCATATTTTTTAATTTGAAAACACTATCCTATTTCTTTGCTGTCTCTCTCTTACTGTGTTCTATTCCATTTTCTAACATTAGCCTATATTTTCTGAATTAAATACCCTTTGGATTTCCTTCCTGGTCCCTTTCCCTAATCCTATCCCTTCTAACTCCCTCACTTCACCCTCACCCCTATCTTCCCTCAACCTTGCTTACGAGAAGAACATTTGGTACTTAAGGTCCTGACGAGAGGAACGGGTATATTCTTCAAAGAAGTAGACACCAGCCACAGCGAACACATAGAAGAAGATAAGCAGCAGCATCAAGAGGAAGGTCATAGTCTAGAAGTCATGAAGTCCAGTCAGGATTGGGCCAAATGGGGTTGATATCCACCTAGTCAATCCCCTGGCAATCGGCAAGCCAAACCCTCATTTCATCATCACTAGACCACTACATAGGGTTTCCAGAGGCAAGTTATTTCGGAAGTGGATGCCACTCCAGCTTCCAAGCTTGTTTTAATCGGGGAGCTCCACCAAACACTGTCCGCCAAGAGTAACCATTATCACATTTGACACATCAGTGTCACAGTGTTCAGCACCACAGTCACAGTGTTCAGCATCACAGCAACCACGAGTTATGAGGCCTCATTTTGGTCAAACATTCTTCTAAGTGGTATAGCACTGGTCTGTCCATTTGCTGTACAGAGGTAACTCACGGTTGCTGTGATGCTGAACACTGTGACACTGATGTGTCAAATGCGAGAATGTTTACCCATGGTGGACAGTGTTTTGTGGAGCTCCCTAATTAAAAAACAAGCTTGGAAGCAGGAATGGCATCTACTTCCGAAATAGCTTGCCGCTGGAAACCCTATGAACTTGAAGAAACGATGAAAGTTATACAAGTGTTCAGGTCTTTTGTTGATAGGGTTGCTATGAGTCGCCTACGACTTGATGGCAATTAACAACAACAACAAGACCACTATTACTTGTTCCATCCCCTTCTCATCCAGTAACATTTTCAGTACCTTCTTTGACAGCCCCCCTCATTTTCTCCTCAACTCTCATTTCTTGTTAAACTTCCACATCTATCCACTTACACCCCTGGATACAATCAAATTACCTTGAGGGCCCTGACAAGAGCCAAAATAATGACTCGAATTTGACGGAATCGTGCAAAAAGTTTCAGAGACCTCAGCACCCTGCAGATCCTCAGCAACTGGAGCCATACAGACTGGCTTGTCACTCCTACCAGCACCACGATCTCAGGAATCAGGGACTGTGGGAAACACACATATAATGAACAATGTATTCTAAAGCACCCAGGCACAGTTGCTTTTTTATATCATTCTCTTCGTAGTGCCCCTAGGCATTAACCTTTCACAAGGTTAATCTGTAGATTGTTTCCTGTTCAACTTTTCTGTACTGTATATTACTTTAAGTGTCTACTAATTCATTCAAAGGGGAGTTAAAATGCTTATCTCATAAGGTTGTTGTGGAAGTCATATAAGAAAATGAATGTAAAATAGAACAATGCCTTATATTTAATAAATATTAAATAGCTGGCAGATGTTCACTTTGAGGATTCATATTATTGTTAGATTCTCATTTGTCTCTAGTACCAATAATTCCTACAATGATTACCTTACAGTCTTGGAGGAGGAGCAAAACAAAGAGTTAAGGGAGCTCTGGTGGCCTAGTGGCGAGAAGCTGCACTGCTATCCCAGTGGTGCACAGTTCAAATCCACCAGCTGCTCTGCTGGAGAAGGAGAGACGACCCCCTCCTGTACCAGTCAGAGCAGATTTGACAGTATACACACAAAAATAAGAAAATTTAAATTTTTTTTAAAAAAGAGTTAGCCAAATTGAAAATTTTATTTCTGTAATCTAATCATCTTAATTTTTCTTATTTTGATTCACCTTCTGCCAACTAAACTAATCATAAGGGAATTTATTCTTACCAGTATAGTAACAACAAAGTCAAAGACATTCCAAGTACTCTTCCAGTAGAGGGAAAAACTGTATGTCCACATAAGAAGGATCTCCAAGAGGAAAACCAGCAAGATGAACCAAGCTGCCACCTCCAGAGTTAACTTCAATGGCAACAGTTTCGTATTTGTGGATTCTAACAATTCTGAAAGAGCAAAGCAAATGATGAAGAGTTAAAGAGGATGGAACCTGCATAATGATGATAAAAAACTGTTATAAGTCATGGCTGTGCCCATTCCTATTGCATTTTTCTTTGAACTTCTAAAACTGTTGTTACTAATTCGACATTTGAAATATGTAGGACAGAATTTACCATAAAAAATTGTTGTTGTTGTTGTTATGTGCCGTCGAGTCGCCTGCGACTCTTAGTGACCCTATGTACAACAGCCCTAAACTCTGCTCTGTCCTGTGCCAATCGCACTGTCTGACACTCCCATCCCGATTATCCCAGTCACTGAATCAATCCACCTCATAGAGGGCCTTCCCCTCCTGCGCTGTCCCTCCACCCTCCC